GAAAAAAGAAAAAAAAAAGATGCATAAAGAAATAGTGTGACAGAGAAAAAGTACATAAAATGCTGGAACAACTGTTCAAAGAACATGAGGAAGTTGACAAACACACTTTCAGCATAAAGTCTATGCACAACAAACCTGAAATGGTTAAATTTTACATCGGTCTTGAAACCTACGAGGAATTTAAAATTTTCATGACTTTTTATACCCTGACATTACTAAGTATAAAAAAATGGCATGAAAACTGTCATGTGAAACTTTGGTTTGATTTCACAGCAAGGTTAAAGCTGGTTTTAGTTTTACTTTGGTTTTAGAGTATTGTTATCGCCATTGCTTAGACCTGAGTAAAACTAAAACCAGGTATAAACCTGACTGTGAAGGAGTATTGAATCGTATATTACTTATGCAAATAACTAAAAAGAGAACAATTTTACCAAATATCTCATTTTTATTATCACAATGCACTTGAACATATCTAGAAAATGTTTAAAACATTGCATTTTAAAACATGAAACAGACCCGTAGGCAGCAATTTCAAAAGGGGGGTTCTTGTTCTGAAAAAGTGGAACTTTTCTCATAAAAACTTCATGTATCTAGATCAAATTTTACCCAGAGTGGACCTTTTCCCAGCAAATGGGGAGGTACTTTCGAACCCCCGAACCCCCTGGCTACGGTACTGTGAAATATCGTAAGGTACTGAGTACCTTGGAAAGATATTTCCATCATTGGTTTTATTATGCAAAATAAAATTGTGAAACGAAATATTGAATTGTATTTATTAATAGGTAAATAATACAAAAAAAAAAAAAAAAAAAAGGGTTGGGCATTCCCTTCAAGGACTTGGTCCATTCTCCACTGTCTTGATTCAAACTTCAATCTGGTAGGCCTACTTCTAATTTTCTCTGCCGTCTGGATCCAATATTTTGTTTCTCTCTCTCTCTCCTCACTGTACAGTTTACACCTATAAAACAAGTAAAAAATAGCCATGAAAATAATTATTAAAGTCATCATCAACACATCTATAACAGTGATTTATTTACATACATACATATTAGACTGATGACAAAACAGAAAATTGACTAGTCATATTTTTTTTAACCGAAATCTACCTGGATACACAACAGAAAGATAATGAAGTGAAAACAAAGATAAATGCACTGATATTGACGTTGAGCTTGTACTAATTACCTGTACAGTGCACTAGCCCACCTCGGAGATTGTATCAGATAATTGCCTGAACCAGGTGACAAATTTATCTCCCCAATAAATGACTCAGGTGAACATAATTACATAATGACCACATTAGGGTTTTGTATTTGGTCTTGTATTTAAGAAAATATCGTGTAACATACCTTTTTATCAGCTCTTCTTTTTTGCCTGATGTGTGGGCATCCTACATTTTAACCAACGTTTCAACTTCGGCACCGTTGTCGCCTCAAATGGCTTGTTTAATATCGCCCACGGCACGTCTTATGCTTCCATCATGTGTTCCTATCGCTGTCAGGAACGCTTCCGGTACCATTTTGACCCCTGCAGTGCACAATTCCGGTCATGCGCACATCGCACCTTTCGAATAATGCAAGTCGTATATACACCATAGATGAGAAATGTTTGACAATTGAAGGACTTAAGTGCAAGTGTAGGCCCTAATCTCTGCAACGTATATGGATAATTTAAACTGAAATGATGATGTCTCAATCTGGGAAATGCAGGTGTATCTCCCTTTCAGGTTCAGTGCCTTGTCCCGTGGAATGATGATAGGCTTGGGCTTTTCATGGAATTATAAATATAGGTGAAATTCCATGGGCTATTTGAGATGGGCAGGCAGAGAAGGCATGCACCTTTTGTAGTTGCAAGGGAATCTAATTACATAACAATCGAAACGTCTATTTTTTATATCACTACAGGGTATAGTATGCGTGAGGTCATATTACCACTTTCTTGCTTTTTGTTAAAAAAAAAAAAAAAAAAACTGAATCATCCAGCTATACAAGTACATGTACATATGGCAGTTTGTTTTAATATATATGACAACCTATCTACTTATAATTATAGATTCAGATATTTAATTTACCTGTTGACTGTTTCGTCTGTTCACTCTGACAGACTTGGTCACAACTGAATTACCTGTTCAGGTAAAGGTGCAGAGGTAATTACCTCAGTCTTGATCTATCATAAATGAAAAATATTTCTGACCATCAAAACTGAGATCCAATGAAACTATTGTCACGTTTAAGTGATATGTAGTATCCCCGGTTTTAAACGTAAGAATGTGACTTAGGTGTTAGATTCACTTACGGCTATCTTTATCTTAGATTTGTTATATTTACACAAACACATTATTGCCCTATATAGGACGTTATTCTGTCCAGATAAAGTTCCTGCATTGGCTTAAGTTTAATTTGGCCTAGTTTGCCCAGGCTGGCTATAAGACTTGCCGCGATGTCACCACCGACGAAAACAGCCGCCGTTTTGGAGGCCCTGCTTGCATTATTGGTGGCCCTCCAAGGAGGGCAGGCCAGGGACATGGAGGGCGCCATCGGCACGACTCTTAACGCCACCCTGGCGTGCCTCAACATCCCTGGCTTAACGCTGGCGGTTGTCAAAGACGGGGAGGTGGTCATTTCCAAGGGTTACGGGGTCAAAGACGTGGTCAGCAAAGAGCCAGTGACCAATACTACACTCTTCAACATCGCGTCCTTGACCAAGGCGTTCGCGGCGACGGTTTTGGCTAATGTCATGAGAAAGAAAAGGTAACATCGTTGTACAGTAACATGAACGAAGGTGTTATATGCCAACAAATCAGATACACCGGATGTAAACCGAAAGTCTTGACTGGACCCCCTTGCTTGGAAACTCTTTAATTTCCACGGAAAATATAGGAAACAGATACCGAAACTACGCCTGTGACAAGTGATATTCGTTTTCCTTTTCATAGGATCGCTTTGAAATGCCAAACTGCAGTTGAAATTGTGAAAGTGTTGTTGGTTCCAAATTTCTTCAGATCAGGGAATAATTCCCTGTTCAGATGACGGTTTTACTGAAAAAAAGTCCGTAGCAAGAACAAATTTCCTGTCTTTTCATTTTCTACAATTATTGTTTGATTTCGTTTCCGAAATTTCAGTTTTTTTTTTCAGTTATGACATAGACTCCCCTCTGACGACTTTCAGCGAACTCAAAGATCTGAAATTTGTGAATGACCTTTTGACCTCTTACGTGACCGCGAGGGATCTTCTCAGCCACCGCACGGGACTCGCGACATACAACAACATCAGACTGCAAGATGAATTGTCATTGGAGATTATCGGCAGGTATGGAGGCCCATTAATAAAGAAAATGTTCAATGGTTTAAGTAAAAATTAACACTCTTGCGGAGATTGCAACATGGGCGTTGTGATAGGCTTGATAGTTTTTTTAATCTAAAAAAATAGGGGTCACATGTTAATTAAGGATGAAGTAATCGATTCACACGAATGAAATCCCTCAACTGTTATCAATTTAATTTCTAAATGTTTCGACAAAAAACATTTCTGAACATTTTTTTCTCCAGCAAGCTGCAATATTTCAATACAACGTACCCATTCAGAACCCGCTATCTCTACAACAACAACATGTACGGACTGGCCGGTCACGTGACCGAACGCTTGACCGGCAAGAAGTGGGAGGACGCTGTCCGGAGCGAGATTCTCACCCCCTTGGGGATGTCCAGTACCTCCTTTGTGACCACTGCAGACTTTGGGTCATTAAATGTGGCCACACCGTATTTTTATGACGATGCCAGTCCAGGGGGGCTTAGAAAAGGGTCGTTTGATCTTATAAGGTGAGGGCGTTAAATTATATATATATGTTTTATTTTTTGTTTATTTTTTGTGTATCAATACAACAACAATATATTAAGATAATGGCAGAATGAAATCTTATGCTGGATCTTACGTTGAAACGGAGATAACGACGTTTCGACCTTATCACAAGGACTTTCTGATTGTGAGTTGCCACCGATGTGATTAAGTGGCGTAATAACTATGCTATTTTTTCTACTGGTAGGCTTATATCATATTGTGATAGGTGTGCCGAATGCACGTATATTTTATCCTCATTTAGGTAGAACTGGCGGTAGCTGAGAGCGTGCTTTTTTCAGTCATAAACTGCTTAAAGCAACTTAAACCACTTAGAGATTTTCAGCTAGTTTTCACAGAAATGTCGTTTTTAAATGTTTTAGCGTTCGTTAATGTTAAAAACCAAATTTTTATCCATTTAATAACGTATAATTTTAGAGTTTAAGACCAGTGCCGTTTTCTGGGCCGGTCAGAATGCAATCTCCTGTCAACTGTCCTATCAGCAAGTAAATGTAGTACGATGGTTTTTCAACTAACAATAATACGTAATTTTAATTAAAAAAAAACGAGATAAAAGGAGAGACGCACGATGCTCAACCATTCAAAAATTCACCATAGTTTACTACAAAAAGTTTCAACAACTTTCAACAATGTCTTTATTCTAGAACCTGGTTCCGCAACTCACCATCCGGAGCCATTCTCACCAACGCCGCAGACATGTCCAGGTGGCTGAAGTTCCACCTGTCCAAGGGAAAGGGACCTGACGGGTCCCAGGTGGTGCCGAAGTCGGTCCTAGAAGACACTTACCGTCCCCAGATTCCAGCCATATCGGGCCAGGATGCGTACCTCAAACGGCCCACCACTCCTGTGACCTTTGATTACGCCGAGTACGCATGCGGATGGCGTACAGGGTTTTACAGAGGTATTTTTTGTATTAACAGGTATACCATACACGTTTAAAAATGTCCCAAAAGCATATTTTTGTGTCTGCATATCCTGCAAAACTACAATTCAGACCGTGACAAAAAGATACACCTAAATCATTTGTTTTGTGTAAAGAGGAAAGTTGCATGGCATACGCACAATCAAACCGTATATCCAAATTCCACCTCTGATGTTTATATCAGTCCACTCTAACCTACCATTACGAAAAAGAAGCCATGCCATTGGACAATGCGACCTCTGCGGTTACGTCATTTCCTGAATTGGATTGTGCAGAGGACCGAAATAAACATCAGAGGTGGAATTTGGATATACGGTTTGATTGTGCGTATGCCATGCACGGAATTTACAAACGAGCGACGGGATGATGTAGCCTGCAGTATTTGCGTGCCAAGTTTTAGACCGCTCCGATGCCCAGCAGTATTTTATTTCGATTATTATGTTTAAGTTGGTCGATTTTTGTTCACAAGCTGACTCTATTTTATTGTCTCTAAGGAGGTATATGGGGACTTTACGACATTCGGTTTGAAGGCTTTAACCACTTGTTATAGTTTATTTTTGCATTGTATTGGATTAATGTGGCAGTCTAAGGTTGTCCTAGGTGGTTTTCAAGTTTATGAACCCGGTTTTAATATCATTTAGCGATTTTACGACAGTCGTTTACTATCCAATCAAGGTGACAGCCGAGCGTGGTGAACACTTAACAATTTTTAAGCATTTCTAAGTATACCTAGTTTAATAAGGGTCACAAAATAAGAACAAAAAGTTTGTTCGATTAAAAAAATTACAATAATGTCCGTCAGAGACATTTTTGACCTTTGTTTTTGAAATTAACATGTTTATGTCGGCAGTGAGTGGTTTCAGTGTATTTCTAGGGTATCCCATCATCACTCATACTGGTACGTCCTGGGGCTTCTCCTCCATGCTGGTTCTTCTTCCCGCCAAGGACATCGGCGTCTATTTCACCTTCAACACCCGGGAAAGCGGCCGCCTCACGCGACGGGCACTCATGTCTTTCATCCTGGACGCGGTGATGGAGGAAACGCCGTGGCTAAACGCGTCAAGCATCTGCTCCTTTCCATCCCCGTTCCGGCCGCGACCGACCAAGGCGCCAACCACTAAGGTGCCAGGCACGGCTACGCGCCCTTTGGAAAGTTACACTGGGGTGTACGAGCACCCACTTTTTGGGAAAATAACGATAGCTCACAACGATACAGATACGTTTCTTACAATGGCGTACGGCGCTGTTACAAGATGGCGGTTGTATCCAGACGCTTCGACCGACGTGTTTTATGGTAGAGGCGACGGGGACGCTTGGTCGTTTCCGATCTCTGGTATGACATTTAAGAGCATTTACAATAAAGCTGGGGATATCAATAGCGTCACTGTACCTACGTTTGAGGCTAGAGATCCTCCGACTTTTGTTAAAGAGGGAGCAAGGCCGACACCAACCTCTTCGTTTGGAGGTGAAGGACTTCCACGCACCCAAGCAGCAGTTTTTCTTGTCATGGTGTTTGACTTACTCACTTTTGCCTTTTAAGGGGCCATATAAAAAGTTCATATGAAGTCTGAAAGTTGAATTTCTTTATCTTTTAATGCCGGCGTGTGGTGGGCCTATCAGGCCCACTAAATGCTGTGCATACTTTGAGTGAAATTGTTAAATTTTATTTTTAGATTTATACTAGATGAAACAGAAGCTGTTTCCTTGATTAGCCAGATAAACCTTTAAAAAGATAAACACACTGGTTTTTATTAGTGTTGTCAATATAATACAATTTATTTGTTAAAATGTGCATATAGAATTAAATGTGGAACGAGGGGTGTTCTCAAATAAAATTGATTCGAAATTAGAAGTACAGTGATTGCAATAAATTTGGTGAGTTCAAAAAGATATCTACAGGATATCCGCATTTTTATTAACCCCAGAACATAGAATTGGCCTTATCATGCATTAAAATAAAGCAAAGATTAGCTACAACACACTTTGAGCAAGTCGTACACAACTGAATTCTCATTGTGTTAGTTGTGCCCACAAGCGGCACATCTGATTTCGCGCATGCGCAATGATAACTTCCGTAAGAAGCATTGGCAGCCTGCAGAAGCAAACAAAACTACTGTGTTGTTGAGGACTTTAAAAAATCTTCAACTAGGTACTGCATTCAAAAGCGACATTTTGGATAACTTTTTGGATACCATTCTGGTCTTGTGGAAGTGTACAAGGTAAGAAAGACGCTGGCAAAATGAATGGCAATTGTTTGTTCCTGAACATCGATATTTTGGTGCCTGACGTTTCAGGCCATGCGTGAAGCGTTTAAGTTGACGGAGAAGACGTGAAAAAGAAACGCTTTTGATTTGATTTTGTTCTCTCATAAGCATCAGAATCAGTCCACTTGCTCTGCTAAAGTGCAATTTTTATTGGTTTTGAGCAAACAAATTGATTTTTGCTGTAAGTCTGACACAATGATTGCCCTGAAGTGATAAGTCGCCAGTACAGCAGAGGCCCACCTTAACACCTTGGGTCAAGCTGTGCAAAAATGGATCGCTGATGTACAGCAATGATGACCATTCATAACAAATGCTACAGTCCCATTTGACATTTGTAGATCTATGTGAATGCATATTCTGATCACTTCACATATATTTGCTTGCATGTGGATTACAGTGACTTGACTGAACATTGGGAAAAGTAAGACCCTGGCCTGAAACCCTCGTACAGAATAGGTATATTGACTTAGAGAAACCCATTTCCACCATCAAAATACAATTAAGTTATAGTANACAGTCTTGATCTATCTTAAATGAAAACTTTCTGGCTATCAAAACTGAGATCCAATGAAACTTTTTTCACCTTTAGGGGATATGTCATATCCCCTGTTAAAACGTAAGAATACGACTAAGGTATGAGATCTTCTTACGGGTGTAATTTTATCTCTATCTTGGATTTGTTATATTTACACAAACACATTATTGCCCTGTATAGGACGTACTTGTGTACAGATAAAGTTCCTGCATTGGCTTAAGATTAATTTGGCCTAGTCTGCCCAGGCTATATAGCTTTAAAACTTGCCGCGATGTCCCCACCGACGAAAACAGCCGTCGTCTTGGAGGCCATGCTTGTATTACTGGTGGCCCTCCAAGGAGGGCAGGCCAGGGGCATGGAGGGCGCCATCGACACGACTCTTAACGCCACCCTGGCGTGCCTCAACATCCCCGGCTTAACGCTGGCGGTTGTCAAAGACGGGGAGGTGGTCATTTCCAAGGGTTACGGGGTCAAAGACGTGGTCAGCAAAGAGCCAGTGACCAATACTACACTCTTCAACATCGCGTCCTTGACCAAGGCGTTCGCGGCGACGGTTTTGGCTAATGTCATAAAAAAGAAAAGGTAACATCGTTGCACAGTAACATGCATGTGCGAAGGTGTTATATGCCAACAAATGAGATACACCGGATGTAAACCGAAAGTCTTGACTGGACCCCCTTGCTTGGAAATTCTTTAATTTCCCCGGAAAATATAGGAAACAAATACCGAAACTACGCCTGTGAAAAGTGATATTCGTTTTCCTTTTCATAGGATCGCTTTGAAATGTCAACCAGCAGTTGACGCTGTAAGATAGAAATTGTGAAAGTGTTGTTGGTTCCAAACTTGTTAAGGTGACGGTTTTACTGAAAAAAATCTGTAGCAGGAAGAAATTTCCTGTCTTTTCATTTTCTACAATAATTATTTGATTTCGTTTCCGAAATTTCATTTTTTTTTCTTTCAGTTATGACATAGACTCCCCTCTGACGACTTTCGGCGAACTCAAAGATCTGAAATTTGTGAATGACCTTTTGACCTCTTACGTGACCGCGAGGGATCTTCTCAGCCACCGCACGGGACTCGCCACTTACAACAGCATCAGACTGCAAGATGAATTGTCATTGGAGATTATTGGCAGGTATGGAGGCCCATTAAAAAAAGAAAATGTTCAATGGTATAACTAAAAATTAACACTCTTGCGGAGATAGCAACATGGGCGTTGTGATAGGCTTGATAATTTTTTTAATCTAAAAAAATAGGGGTCACATGTTAATTAATGATGAAGTAATCGATTCACACGAATGAAATCCCTCAACTGCTATCAATTTTATTTCTAAATGTTTCGACAAAAAACATTTCTGAACATTTTTTTCTCCAGCAAGCTCCAATACTTCAATACAACATACCCATTCAGAACCCGCTACCTCTACAATAACAACATGTACGGACTGGCCGGTCACGTGACCGAACGCTTGACCGGAAAAAAGTGGGAGGACGCTGTCCGGAGTGAGATTCTCACCCCCTTGGGGATGTCCAGTACCTCCTTTGTGACCACTGCAGACTTTGGGTCATTAAATGTGGCCACACCGTATTTCTATGACGATGCCAGTCCAGGAGGGCTTAGAAAAGGGTCGTTTGATCTGATAAGGTGAGGGCGTTTAGATTTTTTTATTTTTTATTTTTTGTGTATCAATACAACAACAACATAGGCCTACTAAGATAATGGAAGAATTAAATCTTATGCTGGATCTTACGCTGAAACGGAGATAACGACGTTTCGACCTTATCATACAGACTTCTGATTTTGATTTGTCACCGGTGTGAACTGGTGGCGTATAGAATATTGTTAATGCTGTTTTTTTCTGCTGGTAGACTTATATCATATTGTGTTAGGTGTGCCGAATGCACGTATATTTTTCCCCGTCAGGAATAACTGGCCGTAGCTGAGAACGTGCTTTTTTTCAGTCAAAAATGCTTAAAATTGCTTAAAGCTCTTACAGATTTTCAGGTTGGCAACTAGTTTTTAACAGAAATGCTGTTTTTTAATCTTTTTAAAGTTCGTTAATGTTAAAAACCAAATTTTTTATCCATTTAATAATGAACATATATATAATAATTAATATATAAATAATAATTTTTAAAGTTTAAGACCGGTGCCGTTTTTTTGGTCCGGTCAGAATGCAATCTCCTGCCAACTGTCCTATCAGCAAGTATATGCAGAACGATGGTTTTTCAACTAACAATGTTACATAATTAAAACGAGATAAAAGGAGAGACGCACGATGCTCAACAATTAACAAAGTCACCATAGTTTACTACAAAAAGTGTCAACAACTTTCAACAATGTCTTTATTCCAGAACCTGGTTCCGCAACTCACCATCCGGAGCCATTCTCACCAACGCTGCGGACATGTCCAAGTGGCTTAAGTTCCACCTGTCCAAGGGAAGGGGTCCTGACGGGTCCCAGGTGGTACCGAAGTCGGTCCTAGAAGACACTTACCGTCCCCAGATTCCAGCCATATCTGGCCAGGATGCGTACCTCAAACGGCCCACCACTCCTGTGACCTTTGATTACGCCGAGTACGCATGTGGATGGCGTACAGGGTTTTACAGAGGTATTTTTTGTATTAACAGGTATACCATACACGTTTAAAAATGTCTCAAAAGCATATTTTTGTGTCTGCATATCCTGCAAAACTACAATTCAGACCGTGACAAAAAGATACACCTAAATCATTTGTTTTGTGTATAGAGGAGAGTTGCAATGCTTCGCTCGTGTACACTTAACAATTTTTAAGCATTTCTAAGTATACCTAGTTTAATAAGGGTCACAAAATAAGAACAAAAAGTTTGTTCGATTAAAAAAATTACAATAATGTCCGTCAGAGACATTTTTGACTGTTGTTTTTGAAATTAACATGTTTATGTCAGCAGTGAGTGGTTTCAGTGTATTTCTAGGGTATCCCATCATCACTCATACTGGGACGTCCTGGGGCTTCTCCTCCATGCTAGTTCTTCTTCCCGCCAAGGACATCGGCGTCTATTTCACCTTCAACACCCGGGAAAGCGGCAGCCTCACGCGACGGGCACTCATGTCTTTCATCCTCGACGCGGCGATGGAGGAAACGCCGTGGCTTAACGCGTCAACCATCTGCTCCTTTCCATCCCCGTTCCGGCCGCGACCGACCCAGGCGCCAACCACTAAGACGCCAGGCACGGCTGCCCGCCCTTTGGAAAAATACACTGGAGTGTACGAGCACCCCCTTTTTGGGAAAATAACGATATCTCACAACGATACAGGTACGTTTCTTACAATGGCGTACGGCGCTGTTACAAGATGGCGGTTGTATCCAGACGCTTCCGCCGACGTGTTTTACGGTAGAGGTGACGGGGACGCTTGGTCGTTTCCGATCTCTGGTATGACATTTAAGAGCATTTACAATAAAGCTGGGGATATCGATAGCGTCACAGTACCTACGTTTGAGGCTAGAGATCCTCCGACTTTTGTTAAAGAGGGAGCAAGGCCGACATCAACCTCTTCGTCCGGGGGTGAAGGACTTCCACGCACCCAAGCAGCAGTTTTCCTTGTCATAGTGTTAGATTTACTCACTTTTGCCTTTTAAAGGGGCCATATAAAAAGTTTATATGAAGTCTGAAAGTTGAATTTCTTTATCTTTTAATGCCGGCGTGTGGTAGGCCTATCAAGCCCACTAAATACTGCGCATTTTTTGAGTGAAATTGTTAAATTTTATTTTTAGATTTATACTAGATGAAACAGAAGCTGTTTCCTTGATTAGCCAGATAAACCTCAAACACATAAAAAAGATAAACACACTGGTTTTTATTAGTGTTGTCAATACAATACAATTTATTTGTTAAAATGTGCATATAGAATTAAATGTGGTCTGAGGTCTGCACTCAAATAAAATTGATTCGAAATTAGGAGTACAGTGATTGCAATAAATTAGGTGAGTTCAAAAAGATATCTTCAGGATATCCGCGTTTTTATTAACCCCAGAACATAGAATTGGCTTTATCATGCATTAAAATAAAGCAAAGATTAGCTACAACACACTTTGAGCAAGTCGTACACAACTGAATTCTCATTGTGTTAGTTGTGCCCACAAGCGGCACATCTGATTTCGCGCATGCGCAATGATAACTTCCGTAAGAAGCATTGGCAGCCTGCAGAAGCAAACAAAACTACTGTGTTGTTGAGGACTTTAAAAAATCTTCAACTAGGTACTGCATTCAAAAGCGACATTTTGGATAACTTTTTGGATACCATTCCGGTCTTGTGGAAGTGTAAAAGGTAAGAAAGACGCTGGCAAAATGAATGGCAATTGTTTGTTCCTGAACATCGATATTTTGGTGCCTGACGTTTCAGGCCATGCGTGAAGCGTTTAAGTTGACGGAGAAGACGTGAAAAAGAAACGCTTTTGATTTGATTTTGTTCTCTCATAAGCATCAGAATCAGTCCACTTGCTTTGCTAAAGTGCAATTTTTATTGGTTTTGAGCAAACAAATTGATTTTTGCTGTAAGTCTGACACAATGATTGCCCTGAAGTGATAAGTCGCCAGTACAGCAGAGGCCCACCTTAACACCTTGGGTCAAGCTGTGCAAAAATGGATCGCTGATGTACAGCAATGATGACCATTCATAACAAATGCTACAGTCCCATTTGACATTTGAAGATCTATGTGAATGCATATTCTGATCACTTCACATATATTTGCTTGCATGTGGATTACAGTGATTTGACTGAACATTGGGAAAAGTAAGACCCTGGCCTGAAACCCTCGTACAGTATAGGTATATTGACTTAGAGAAACCCATTTCCACCATCAAAATACAATTAAATTATAGCAAACTAACAAATAAACAGTGTAAAATTATTATCCTGACCTTTATATTCAGTATACACACAGATGGCTTGCAGTATCAGGTTTTTTTTTTCGTCAGACTGGTGAAGAGTTTTACCATGAAAATTGATCTTAAACAGTCAGTTCACACTGCATCTCAGATAGATCGGTTTGGACAGATCATGGCCCTGACATAAGAGTAATGATTGCAGTCAAGTTGGTATGCAAGCAGCACAGTGATCAGGAAATTTACTTTGATTACATTGTGACTAAGGGTTACCAAGCCAAACTGGCTTAATTGCTTTTTAACTGTTAATTTGGGGACTTTGTTGGTTCAACCCCAGTCTTGTGTAAATGCGCCTCGGAACTTTGAGATGCGACTAATTTGGCTGTCTATTCTAGACAGCCTTTGGAAACTTCTTCATTTCTTTCTGCTTGTTGAATCAATCCAAGTCCATTTGAAATGTTGAAAGTAAGTTTGGATCTGATTGATAAAGAGGTGATGCAGCATCTTTTGATCTCTGAACCGCGTGAGACGTGATCTGTTTGCATTATGCAAGACACGAAAGATGTATGTGGCCACAGGGCCATTGCTGACCACTGGGGGTGTAATTTTACAGTTTGTGTGATGTCTGCTAGATAGGTTTTCTTTTCAAACTGACCATTATTCTGTGTCGGATATTTTGTCAGTGTTAAGTGCATGGTTTGAAGTATGCCAAGGGTCAGTGATACTTTTGACCAGTGGGCATTATGTATTTCTGTTGAAATTTTTTCACGTTGCTTTAATGTTTAACCTTGCATGCAGGTCTGTCTGAGTGAAAGTATAGAGGTTGGACTGTGCATCAGTTGTTAGAAGGCTTCTGAGTGGGAAAATTTGACTTACGCCTGTTTTTTTTTTTTATGAAAATTTATGTATGACGTAAATTTAGTATTCGTCAATTAAAGTCCCTCAACCACAATGGTAGTGGAAGCTTATACAAGTAAATTATAATTATTGTATGTCATTATGGAAATTGCAACTTGGTATCTTGTTAAAATGATTGTTTTGAGAAAAAAAAAGGAGAGATGAACAAAACTGAATGATTTATTTTGATTGCCCTGTTTATTATAATGTTTTTTTGTACAGTTGGATAGAAGAGACAGTAATTTATCCATAGATTTTCCTTTTTTGTGAAAATGAGTGCTTAGAAAGCTCTTGTATTTCGAATGAGTTGTTCAGAAACTGTAAATTGATGGGTGGGTTGGGAGGGGGTGGTGTTCCAATTTTAGCACTCTCTTTCCAAACCTAGACATATATGTAATTTAGTTAGAGGATGCCATATGTGTTGCATGTATTGAACTTTTCATGGTATCAGACTGTGAGCAGAGGCGGCATGTGTATTGATCTGTGTCGAATGTACAAGAGAAGGCCATTTTATGAATGAGTCATTGATTGTAGTGTGTGTGTGTGTGTGTGTGTGTGTGTGAGAGAGAGAGAGAGAGAGAGAGAGAGAGAGAGAAAGAGAGAGGAGAAGGAGGTAAGAGAGAGAGTGTTGAGAAGTAAAACAGGGATAGTACTGTAATGCACCACAATAAATCAAACCTAAAAAGTTCCAACAATTCCTGTCTTTAGGAAGGATGTAGGGAAGGAAATCCTGAATAAAAAAAGTCTCCCGTTTTATACTCATTATCCTGTCTCTTATGTAGCTACACTGATAAGAATATATCTTTACTATTTCCTTCACTGGTGTGGATTATCCCCAGTCAATATTTTCATATAACAATGTCTGCCTACTTGATCAGGTCAAGAATATGCCACCAGTTCAAAAGGAAAATTCAGATATGATCTGTTTCCACTTTTCTCCTCTTTCGCACTTTGTGTACGATTCTATTACATCTCATTTTTGTAGCATGCATAAAAAGCCTTGTGATCTTGGCATTGATAATAGAGCCTGGACAGAAGTGTCTTTTCTTCTGAGATACTGAGCGTGTCGCGGTGCACATTAGGGCTGTTTTAAGCTACCATGACACTGTAAACTGCCTTGTTCAAATGATTGTTTTGCTACCTTAACCAGGTGATTTATGGTCAAGCTATTTCAGCTATTCAGAAGATAATAATAGTGGGACTGCAAAGATGTGATAGAAGAGACAGGGAGAGAGAGAGATAGAGAGAGAGAGAGAGAGAGAACAAAAACTTAAAACCCTAAGTGGGTGTAAATTTAAGGATAAAATCAATTAATATAAAACATTGAACCCATTTTATGGAAAGAAAAATGTAAACTACTGTCAAATATCCATTTAGTCACTTTTTAAGTTGAAGTGAACTACCGTAAGAAAGATTTATTCTGAAATGAAATATATAGACCAATAATTTCGTAAAAGATAAGGCCAACATTTGTCCCCGGGTTATTTTGTAAAGCAGACCCCTGTAGTGCTGGTGTTGTGGCTTAGTGTGGTGTGGTTTTCTAAATACTGGGGTCCTGAAATGTTGTTATAATGTCAGGCTGTGAGAGAAATGGGCAGGAAGAATGTAAATGAAAACATTGCTCATAAAACATATTTCATTATTTGGCATGAAGTGGGGTTATTGCTGACAGTTCAGGTTAGTCATTTTCAGAGTTTGAAATCTTTCTGTTGTAGGAGACTCAGGGTGTAAGTGTTTTCTGTAACCCAACTCATCTTTGTTGGGTCTTTCAAGGTACCCATGCAGTTTTGGTGGATAGCCCATGTTTCCCGACCAGGAGATATCTTACATTAACCCAAGGTTGATTATATTGCCTGTTTGACTATTTTCACGATTTTCCTGGAAACTGAAACTCAGGGTGAAGGAGTCCCTTGATGTATTAATAAAGAAATTTAAGGGATGGAAAGGGGAGGGGAGAGAGAGAGAGAGACAGAGAGAGAGAGAGAGACAGGGAGAGGGAGAGAGAAAGAGGAAGAGGAAAGGGAGGAGAGAGTTGGGAGGAGGTGGAGAAAATATAGAGAGGAGGAGGAGGGCTATCATCAGCAAAAACAATTTGTCTTCACTGCAGTGAGGTCTCTGCCAATACACCATTCTGTACTGAGAACCCCCGAGAGCTGGGGTCAATCAGGGTGCATGCAGTGTGTAATCTACTCAGGTTAAGGAATCACCTACGTCTAGATAGAGAGGGAGATAAGGCACCCCAGACCACCGGTGTATGTCACCTCTGAGTGTACAGAGAGTGAGGGACAGATGACATACAGGATTGTGTACACTATAAAGAGTGCTCTAGATGTGGGGGCTGCCTAGTCCTAGTTTACTACCTGGTGACTGACACACTTTTTTCACAGCACCTGCCACAATAAGGGATGTATTGATAATGGGGTGGAGGCAGGATCTGGTATCTGCATGTGGCAATGAAATCTAATTTTCTTGCTTCAGTATTGCATACCTGCTTTAATATTTTTGCATCTTTACATCGTTCATCCTTCTTTAATACAAATGGTCTTGGTTAGATTTGTACAGTAAGGACCTATATATATTATTTACATTTGATACGAGATAACGTACTAGTGCACTAGCACATGTTTGGTGAGAAGAATATGTCCTCAATGATGAGGAGGTTGATAAGATATCTGTCTCAAACCTCAGTAATATATCATATGTTATGAAGGAAAAACATGGTGGCCGTGTACGCATTCCAGACATGCTGTTCAAAACTAACTATCAGACAATTAGACTGGCACTTATGAAAAATTTTCCTGGACTGATTGTAAATACGAAAATAATGTCTCTTAAAGTTGTTGGTGATTGCTTGGACTGGCTGAACAGAATTTTCTTCTGATCCTTGGAAATTGTATATCAGTCATAACCAGTAAGTTGGAAGTTCTTGATGAATTTAAAAAGGTCATCACTTACAACTTTGCAGTTTTTTTTTCAGACTGGCATGTTATAAAACGCCCAAATAGGAATGTTTCATATTTTTAAAGACTGCCAGGTCAGGTATTTTAAAGATAAGAGAAAATGATATACAAGTACTGTATATAGCTTTAAGAAAAGTTTTCTGTAACATATGAAAATTTTTGCTGTTTGAAGCTGTTTGCCTCATGCTAGCCTAT